CCATGATGTTTGGCAATTGTCATTTGTTCCCAGATATATCTTGTTAATTAGGGAACAAAGAGAAATGCTAAACTGAGTCTTCGTTCTTAAAACTTTATGCTAGAGTCAATAAAACTCTTATAGCTAGTAACTCTCATAGTTGAAGCTATTAATTCAAAACAGGAGGCAGAACTGAAGTATATACAACTTCCTCTCAGTCCCTTGCAAGGATGGAGACTACTCTATTTAAAGTGTTAGAAAGCAGTTCTGGCTGGGCGAGGGGGCTCACACCTGTAATCCTAGCACTTTGGGAGGCCAAGGCAGGAGGATTGCTTGAGCCCAGGAGTTTGAGGTTGCAGTGAGCTATGACGACACCACTGCATTTTAACCTAGGTGACAGAGTAAGACTCTGTCACCCCACCAAAAAAAAAAAGGAAACTATTCTATAGTGTCAGCAGGTAATAATCAGGGATTTGGTTTTAAAAGTTAGCCACCTGATGTTTTCACCTTAGCCAAAAACATATAAATATAAATATATAATGTGTTAAAGGTTTAGCCATTAAGTAGATATGAATAGGATTCCTGGCTAAAATAAGATTCTCATAGATAAAATAGACTTCCAAGAACTGAAATTGACAAGTGAGATAAAATAGAAAAAATAATGTGTGGAGACTGTTAGAAGCCAACTGTTAACTAGATGTTAAATCGTCAAGGCTGAGCATCCGATACCATTTCCTGTTATCCTGGGACCAATTCCATCTTCCATTTCAGTGACTTTTCTACATGTGAGGTTTGTGATGGTTTTTTTTTTTTTATCTTAGAATAGGGTATTTAAAAATATTTGAAAAGAAAAAAAATAAAAGTAGAATAGCTTCTGAGTTAACTCACGTTTTCACAAAAACGCTCCCGATCATCTCGGCAAGCAAAATATAAATGCCGGTCCAAATGAAAGTCATCGGAGGAGAGCTCAGCCACGCGGAGAATGGCTTTCTTGCAGGGTTCAGAAACTTGAACCTTGGGCTCTCTTTCTTCTGCTTCCTTCACCAGGCCTTTCTCCAAGCATGATACCACCTCGCCTTGTGAATGTGCATCCTGAAATAGCAAGGATATTAATATTTTAAAATACTTACCACATGGGTTTCAAATAAACATCATTTGGTTAAATAAATAAATAAATAACCCCAACACACAGTTAGCTTATTAATGTTTTATAGAGAAGGCAAGTGGGAACTAAACCCATCGTGGAAGTTAAAGAAAGTGCCCTCAATAATCTTTGGTTAGAATATAATACCTGCACACTACAAATGGAAACAGAGAACCTGGGAAATTTAAGTACTACAGTTGAGTTAGCACTAGAAATAGGAACCTGAATTTTTAAAGTTTAAAATATCAAAAAATTCTTAGGAAATGACATCAGCCTGAGGCTCTGATTCTGTGTCAATATTAAAATAATATTGCAGAAATCTCTGCTCATTTCTAACAGCCAGGCATTTCACAAATAATAGCACTTTCAGTCAAATGAAAAAACAGCAAGCAAACCAAAAAAATCCATTGAGAAAAGAAGTTACAGAGACCCTGTTTCTCCTTTTTCTACTCTTCTGTCCACAAACACCCCAACATAGTACACTCTGCGGTGTAATACTCACTTTGATGTTTTAGATTTATTTTAATGCAACTTAACAAGACTACCACCATTTATACAAACTGTTTTGAGAGTTTTCCTTAAAACCATCCAATTATCTTTAATTGTACCTTGCATCATCCCCATAGCAACCACAAGCATTCATTTATCCAACATATGAGAAATTTCCCCTAAATATTTCCTCTTTGTTTCCTGATTTCAAAATATTAAGGGGGTACAAATGCTTTTGTTACATGGATACACTGTATAATGTTGAAGTCAGGGCTTTCAGTGTGCCTGCCACCACGACAGTGTTCATTGTACCTGATAGGTAGATTTTTATCCCTCACCCCCTCCTGACCTCCCCTATCTTAGCTGCTAATGTCCTTTACGTCCCTGTGCCTGTGTGTAATCATCATTTAGCTCCCACTCCCCCTAAACATTTTCTATTCAAGAGTTCTAATCTAGGCCAGGCGCGGTGGCTCACGCCTGTAATCCTAGCTCTCTGGGAGGCCGAGGCGGGC